ATAATAATATAATAAAGAATAATAATAAAATATAAGAATAAAATAAATAAAATAAAAATGTTAATTAAGTTAAAAATACTAATGATATTAATAACGTTGATCATTTATCAATATTTGTAATGCAGTAGGATTGACTTTATATAGTATCATCATATATGACTTAGACTTATTATTTTATATAATTTTATTATTATAAATTTTATAAATTAAAAGACAAATATTTTATAATAATTATTTCAGATATCCAGGATATCTTAGATATTCATTTAATAATGCAGATATCTGGATTATCTGAATAAATTACGTTTATCTAGATTAAATGGATAAGCTCAAAAACAGATATTTGAATTAACAGATCCAGAATCTAGTCTATATTTTATATTTTTTATAAATACTACTTTTAATTAGTTAGCTAAAAAAAATTATATATTTTAATAGTTTGTGATACAAATTTAATTAATTAAACTATTCTTGATACTTTAATTCTATTTAGCATATATTTAAAATTTGATTTAGTGTAGAATACTCATTAATTATTTAAAGTAGTTTTACAGTTATTTTAATACTTAATCTATTATTAACATGTCAAATTATTGTATTTTTATTAATACTTTTTAATATTTATTAAAAAACATATAATAGTTTAATGAATTTCTTTAATTATCTATAATCTAATTATTTACTTTTTAATTTGAATTATTTAGCTTTAAAAAAAAATTCAGAATAATTTACGATTTTATTTATTAAAACTGATATATACATTTATACATAAATATGAATATATATATTTATTATCATTAGTTAATATGTCTAATCTTAAGAAATTAAAAAAAACTTGACTGAATTTTTTTTAAAATAGTGTATTTTAATAATATGAAAATTCATATTATTGTAACTAAGTTTGATTAACATTTTGCAATTAAAAGGTAATTTTAACAGATAAAATGTCTTTCTTCAAAATTTTGTATTTAAGTTTATGAATAAGAATTTACTAGTCTTAAGTTTTTAAAGCTTTGAGAAAAATGTTAAGATATCCAAATAAATATTAATATCAAAATGTGTTTATTAATTTTTGGAAAGAAATAAGATAGGGATTTTTACATTATTTTAAATTAGTATGTATCATATTCTTTCATTTATCTCAATTTTTCAATAGTTGCTAAAAAGATTTTGTAAAAACTAAAAAGCTTTGTTCAAAAAGTCTATTATATTATTAATCTAAAGGAAAAGAAATACAATTATTTTGATATTGATGTTGTTGGTTTAGTAACTGCAAATGAAAATAATTTACATTAATTCAATATGTCGAATTATACACAATACTTTTATCACAATCACGCCTATATGAAGATACGACAACAGGTAATAGCAAATGAATTGATATAATTCCTTTATTGAACCTTTGTTTATCCTAAAATCCTATCTCGGGTTATCTTTCAACTCAAGGGAAAAAGATATTTATACAAAATAAAATACTAATAAAAAATATAAAAAATGAAATTAAACTGTAATAGATTAGTATTGACGGTTATTGAACGTATGGTTAGGCTATGATCGGGCTTGTACGTTAATTTACAGTTAAAATACTAACCATAAATTTGCGATATTTGCTAATTGACAGTCATTGGACTGCATGGAAATGGAAAGTTAGTGATGAAAGACTGGTCTTTTTGGACCGACTAATTAACCAGGTTATTAACCGGACCGGACAACAGTAATTGGACATTTATGAGTAATATTATAATCAGCTTAAAAACCATGAATGTAGGAAAATTAAATGTACATTTATTCTTTGGATCTGAATACAAGATTTGTACACTTGGCTTCGTACAAAAAGAAAGTTCTATAAACAATCCATAATGAGGAAAATAAATTTGATGGTCATTAACAGAACCTTGAAAAGGTAGTTTAACACTGATGTAAACTAGAAGGTAGCAAATCGTTTGGTTGTAAATAACTTTACGGAAATTTAGCATTATTGATAATTATTTATAATAATGAAATTGGAATTATGTACGTTACGCCCGCATTTCTCATCGATCGAAAACTTGCGTCTGTTACTACTAGGGATGCTAATGGTCACAGTCATGCTCGGTCAATGGTGAGCGATACCGGTCGGTCAAAGGCTTCTGACCGATCAGTTAACCGGCCGATTTGGACCGACCGGTTTATACGGTTTCGAAATTGTAAAAAAAAAAAATAAAAATAAATAAATAAAGGAAAAATTTAAACGGTGCACCCGTGCATTTGTCACGCATATTTATTTGTCACGGTAGAATTAGTTAGGTAGTTAGTGTTAGGTATTAGCATATTATTAGTCAACATCACATTATATATGGGTGCACCAAATAAAAGTTTTCATTAATGTTGAATCTCATCAAAGTTCATTGAAAAATCCGTTATACTCTAATATGCTAGGAAAATCACGTCACGTTGGAATTTTTTAACAAAAATTTCAATTTTTTGCATTTTAGCTCTTGATGTTATTTGCAATCATTCCATATCTTCTCATAAATAGAGATTCTGTCGTTTATTATTAGTTTTTCGTATCCAAATCATTTCGATTGGAAGATAAATTTTTATCCATGTGTTGAATATTGAAAACCGCAGTATTTCCGAGTGATACGAAAAGTTGTAGAGTCGGGTCACTCAAGCGTTACTCACTTGAATGTCCCGACTCTACAACTTTTTCCCATAGTTATGGCTGTACTGTACAATCAAAATAAAAAAAAAAGATTATCAAATTCATATGCTTTTTGATGAACGAACAAAGAAATTCCTTATCCTATGCGTGTCGATCGTGCGAATATGCAGGAGAACTTTTCTATTGTACTGTTCCAATCTATGTAACATAATTGCTATATATTGCTTTTTTTTTTAATTTTTTTTTTTTTTTTCAAAAATTCTCTCTTTTTTTTAAAAAAAAATAAAAAAAAAATGACTCGAAAACTCCCTACTGATTCTTTAAATGAAAATTTTGAATATTTTGAAGGTGTGTTTTTTTTTTACGTGCTTATTTAGTGGGCTGTCTTTAGTTTGAAGCTTCTATGACGCTTCTGTGCGAAAGTTATGGAGAGAAATACAAGATTTTAATTAATATTTTAATTTTTCTTTTGTCCCTATTAAAGCAAATACAATTATATATAAGAATAATTGTATTGCGTTTATCAAAAATATAATTAAAAGATTTCAAGCTATTCTAGGACAATGCTATAAGCATATTGATATAGCATTTACCGGTGGAAACATCAGCTCCGCCATGTTACACAAGTTAAGTCAAACTTGTAAACATTTACAAATTTGAATAACTTGAAAGAATCAGTATCAGATGGACTAGAAGAATTAATAACCTCACAATTAAATCTAAAATATTTTGGAAGAAGGTTTTAGTCGCAGAAATGACTTATGTAGCTTATATTCTTTTTGATCTACTTTTGCTTATCTTTTATAGTTTTTTTTTATACATTTTTATCAACTTTTCGTATTTATCTATTTTTCATTATTTATTTAATTACTGTATTACTGTACATATAAGACGCGATATTAATTAAATTTTCTATTAACATAAAATGATTTTCTGCCACTTGTAAAAATGAATTTATTTTGAAAGTGTGAAAACTGAATTATTGAGTGAATTTCTAATATGATCATTAATCTTGATAGTTTACTGTAACTCATAAATTATAAACTGCGTACGGTCGGTGTGCAACGAAATTGGTCATCGTGACTGCGTATATCAATTATTACTGCGATTTTAACGAAATTAAACGAGAAAATTTAGGGAGGGTCAGTAAATAGCTAAAATCCTTCGATCATTGGACGTCATGGATGATCGACAAAGAATTAGGCGCAGAAGACATATTCTTCGGACGTGGACAAATAAAATAAATAATATATAACTGACACTGACATTGGTTATATTTTGAATCAATCCAAATCTTCGATATTGCAATTTGCCATCTATCCTATTTAGCATTTTTTTTTCAATTATAATACGTGCATTATTTTTTTATTTTGAAATATGTTTTTATCGAATTTTTTATTTGATATTGAATTGAATGAATTCCGGAAAGTAGAGAATCCATTATTCATATTATAAATAAATTTTTACATTTAGAGATGATGACAAATTGGATTCTGATGATAGAATTATTGTAATTTTAGCCATTATATAAATACTCAAAATGAGTAATGCTAAAAACCTAAACATATGAAATAAGAAATGATCAACAAAATAAAATTAAAGTTTAATTTATGATTAAAAATCTCTATACGCACACTTCTAAATGCATCTTCGTTATTTTTTTTACATAGATCCAATGGGTACACTCGAGAGGTTTGTCCATATAAAGTTATATAAAATAATTCGTTGTAAAACATAATGCTCGAATTGAACTTTACTGTTCTATTATTATATCTTAATACAAGAGAGCTAATTTGTTGAAACAAATTTAATAAATTGAAAATCGTCAAATTTATTACTGGGTTAAAATTCGAGACATTTAAAACATGAAAAAAAATTAAAAAAACAATATCTGGAAGAAATATCATAAAGGCGTTTGTTTTTGCTAAAACGTATTAAGAAAATTTATCTCTCGTAAACATTATTAATATCGTATAATGATGTCATTGAAGCATCATTGTGATTTTTAAGGCATGTGATAGTTAATCATCTATACCCTAATATTAAAAATTGAGAATCAAATTTTTTTAATTTTTTTTATAGACGGTATTAAATTATGAACTTAAAACTTGGAAGGGATAAATTCGTGTAAACCTCCCGGTCACAATCCCCTTACACAGGAAGAATAAAGAATTTGGAAATATTTAATTTTGTTTCACTACGTCAGAATTCAGTTTGTACAACAGCTCAATATAGAAAATATTTTTAACTGAATGTATTGATATAAGACGTCCATTTTTTCAATAATGGCTTTTATCTTTATCAATTGCATGCTAAAAAAAAAAAAAAATAAGCGCGAGAAATAAAAAAAAAAAATATGAAATATTTATATGTGGTTATTGCTATTTCATGCGCTTTATTAACCAATACGAATGCTTATCAATATGACTTGGTTGAACCTATTGATAAACCTTTTGTGGAAAATTACGAATCCAAAGAATTAAGTTTTTTAACTTTTGGTGATTGGGGCTTCGCAGGAGTTGAAGTGGGACAGGAGATAGGAAATCAAACTAAAGTTGCCAAAGCAATGACAAAATGGAGTGGACAATATAATAGTAATTTTGTCTTAAGCGTTGGCGGTTAGTAGTATTATTTACGGATTTGTTTATCATTCAATACTTGAGAATAATATCTAAATTTATTTTTTTTTTACAGATAACTTTTATATTAATTTTGTTGGAGATCATGAAGGAGTTTCAAGTATTTATGACACAAAATGGGATAAAGTCTGGAAGAATGCATATCAAGGAAGATTAGCCAAGATTCCTTGGTACATTGTAGCCGGAAATCATGATTGGTAAGTACGTATTGGAGATCAAACTCGATTAAATAAAACTCACGAAAATTTATTTACTTAGGTACGGCAATATTACAGCTCAGATTGATTATAGCTTGAATTATGACTCTCGATACTTCTTCCCATCTGCATATTTTGTTCGTGAATCATATTTTGGTCCAAATAAAACAAAAGTTGCAT